TAATAATAATAATAATAACTCTGTTTTTAGAGCGGAGAGGAACAGGTATTTGAATAGTCTTCCTTTGATATTTTTTATGCCATTTTTCTATCATTTTTCAATCATTTCTCCCATAATAAAATATTAATAAAATTGGATAATAATGATTTCTTCCCTTCTCTCTTTTCATGTTGCCTTACCCCTTTCCCTATATTTTACCGTTGTTTCTCCCTTCTTCCTTGCTTCTTTTCATAGGCGTTTCTCCCTTCCTCAGTAATTCCTTCCTGCTCTTTGCAATGATTATGTTGAATCTTATCTCTAACTCTATCATGCCTGTTTATTTTAAAAATGCAATCTGCGATTTTTCGTTTTCTTTTTAGGTTAAGAATTCTTGCAAAGTTGTTGTCATCTAAGTTTCTTCATAGAGAGATTCGGTAAGTTGTGCGATCCTATATTTAATACCATTTCTCCTATATTCTATATTATAAGATGAAACTTCGCCTTCTCAGTAATATCGAGGTTTCTCTTCTCATTTCTGGTGTTCATTTTGTCACGACTGATCGATTTAAGGGAATCACGTGACCTATTCACAACRAAACGTTTGAAGGGTGTTCCACAATGCTCTGTTCTTGGACCTATTTTCTTCCTTATAATCAAATCTTTATACCATTGGTATTTTAGAGAGAAAGGCGGTGCTTATGGCGGTGGAGCTAAATTAGGTGGAGGCGTCTTCTCATTTTATTCTTACAGGTAAATTTCGATATAGTTTTTAGTGCCAATAACGTTTCTCAAGATATGGTATTTCGTATGTTAAAGTGTACCTTATAATTCCCAGGATTTCCATTAAGTTTTGAAATAATAGGAGAAGATCATGAACTAGTCAGAGTACTGGCAGGGTTTTTATTAAATTTTGAAATAATAGGAGAAGATCGTGAACTAGTCAAAGAGTACTGGCAGGGTTTTCATTAAGTTTTGAAATAATAGTATAAGATCAAGAGCTAGCCCGAGATAGTCCTGGCAGGATTTTCATTAAGTCTTGAAATAATAGGAGAAGATCATGGTAGTTTAAGCTGGAGAATTWTGCTCAGATAGATCTGCGACTCCTAATGAAAACTCTTAATGCTACATTGATTGTTTTGTTTAGAGATCCCAATAGTCTCGATACATTAGCAGCATTCAATAACTCGATCACGTGGGCAGAGGAAGGAAACTTCACTGAACAAGACATTGATGAAGCAAAGCTCTCTGTTTTTGCAGCGGTAAGTTTATCTTTAGTAAAGACCAACTGGGGCAAATCAAAATCTAGYTATATGTTTTTAAATGAATGGAATCTTCTATCAGACACAATTTAATCTTCTAAGTCTTATACGATATTTAAGAAAAATTATCTTTCTAGTATGTAATAAGTAATGTGATAATTTTTTAAATGTATTTATAATATTTTTATATTGTATTTTGTATTATTATGTATGTAATTTTGAAATCACTTTTATAGTTTTATCTTAGCTTGTAATCTTATGTATTGTTTTTTTGGAGGTCCCTCATGAAAAGCACTTAAGGGTGATGAGGTCTCCTCCTTAAATAAAGTATTCATTCATTCATTCATTCATAAAATACCATCATTAAAATATTAAGTTTTTTTGGAGTCATTTTTGGCTCATATTCTCCCACCCTCCCCGCACCTCTCTTTTCCCTAACCCCCCCCCCCCCCCCCCCCCCCCCCCCCCCCCCCCCCCCCCTCCCTAGTCATCTAATACTCACTTCTGATTGGTTGATTCGTAGGTTGACAGTCCTGTGTCACCCGGTAATCGAGGACTACTGTACTTCACCCAAGGAGTCACAGACGAAATGAGACAAACACAGCGTGACAGGTTGTTTGCTGTCACGCGTGACGATCTGATAGACGTGACAAGAAGGTGAATATTACATCTTATTTCAGACTTCATGTTTATAACTTGAAAGTTKAGCCAGAAAAAGCTGTTTTCACTTGGATTTTAAGAAAGTGGCTTACTCCATTCTAGGTACCTGTCTACCTCGGACAAATACGACTCAGTGGCTCTACTGGGGCCTGAAAACGAGTTAACAGCCAAAGATAGCAGTTGGACAATACGTAAGGAAAGTCTGTAGAATATGAAAAAAGATGGATCACTCAGATGACGCAGGACTTCGACAGTCGTATCGCTGTCGTAAGGTAATCGTGTCATTGTCGCCCAGTGATCCCGGTATTGCTGTAGGTCCGTACACACGAAGGGACATGTAGCAAGGACATTTTGATGACCCTTGCTAGGGACGTATTCAAGTCAYATATCCCAGGCCCATGGATATTTTGCCTCCCAGATATGATGACCCCTAAAGTTATATCGGTTGATTTTCATGTCCCAGTCACAAAATGCTACTCCCCCCCCCCCTACCCCACTCCATCCCTACCCCCCCTTCCCCTACACTTCCTGCTGACCATTCGTTAAGTGAAAATTTGGTTTAAAAAAGGGAAGGTATTGTTAGTAGAAGAGGAGCCCACTACTGTCCCGTGATTCAACATGTCCCTTCATGAGTACCGACCTCGTCCAAACAAATGGAAACCTTTTTAAAAAAAATTCCATTTAATGAAATAAACACCATGAGATTTCTTTATATAACTGTGAGTCASTTGAGGAGCGACAATCATAACTAAATAAAACCTCTTTATATATACATATATCTTGTATGTAGTCAATACTCTCTTTATAAATATGACTGGGATGAGCACATCTCGACAACAATATGTGTTGCCATGACAATCCTATATATCAGTAATGTATGATATATCTTAATGATAAGTACAGTGATTGTTTATTATATGCATTGGGTAATATATACAGTATGAGTGGCGGTGTTGTATCAGATACACAACCACGAGGCGTAGCCGAGTGATTGTATATCTGATACAACACGGCCACTAATACTGTATATGACTTATCAAACGTCTAGGTTAGTTCCTTTGTGTTTCACTAAAATTTTCAAAATTAAAGTGAWTTTGGCCAAGAAAATCCAACTTAAAGTTTATGCAAATGAACACAGTTTTGTATCAGATTTACAACACTCTTCACGGTCGTGATTTCTGTTGTGTTTTCCTCATGAATTATTCATGAGTTTGATAATTATGAAATATAAAACGTGCACGCATGTTTCTGTACTGTGATATAAGCAGGTTGGGAGCTGTAGAGCAAGAAAGAAGCAAGCTTAGGGGCACGAGACGTAGTAGTGCTTTAAAGCTCTCRGAATGTTTATATCACAGTGCAGAGACACAAGCAGCCGTTTATGTTGCTTTTATGAAATATTTTTGAGGAGCATCTGTCCTTTGATGTAAGCGAGCCAATCAGCGCGCTCTTTATATCTCAAACTTTTTGTCCAATATTTTGTAATACAGAGATATATACATGGATGGATGAGTAGGAAATTGAATTCTAGAATAGAAATTAGTTGTAARTAGACCAATTTAGCGTGAGCGTATGTTTTCCCATTTCAGACCACGTGTCATTCCCTAGAGTATCATTTCTTTGTTTAACGGTTGCGCATGAGAAGACACATGAATATGGATRCAACTCAAACAAAAAATGTTATTCTCAAGAGAATGACACGTGGTCTGAAATGGGAAAACAATGCGCCCAAACTAAAAGTTACACTTGGCATGAGGTAGAGAAGGGTTTGGAGACTCATGACGTCCAATTTTTGGCACAGATTTATAATCTTTTAATGTCATYCGTGCATTTTCCAAGACGAGCCTAAAAGTCATGACCCTACTTTTTGATCTTCCACTTCCCTTGGCCTAACTTATAAACCTTTCCTCTTCTCAATACGCTAGTTTTGAGTTCTTTGTTGCTCAGGCTTAGCCTCGATTTTCTGCAGAATAATAATGTGTTCCAGTGAAGATCCATTGAGTTTCAAAGTGTTTGTATTGTTGAGGTTGTGCATTCTTTACTTTACCGTTGGTATTTGTGAATATTTAGACACTGATACGAGGTTAAACCTGAGTATGCAATCAATCGTTATTCATACATACTAGAACTTCTAGTAATATCTTTCTCGCTAGTCGAGTCCTGTCAGTGGCCTTCTGCAAAGCCTTCACTATCAGGATGACTACAGCCGTAAATTCTTTTGYCCTTCACTGTTAACACCGCTCCAAAACCCGCGATAACTCGACTCACTTTATGCATGACCTCGCGGACATTCTGTCCACGTGACCTGACGTCATTGATGACGTCTTGGTCGAATGAGAACCGCTCCAGTCGCACGTCCTGGCGAAGGGAGCCTGGTGTCGAAGAAAAAAACATGGGCGTTTCTGAAGCTTGTTTTGCATCCATCTCGTTGTCAAGGAGATTGTTGATGTACTGTAAAATGGCTTCCGTTGCGGATTGACCAWTCACTGACAAGGCTGCCGCCGGCTTGAGTTGCCTATTTCTTCGCTTCTTTTTGTAGTTTTTACGAGTGATTAGGCCAGTAGGGAGTTTATTATTCTCTTGCTGTAGCAGTTTCTGAACAAAATTTCGAAACCACTTCTTCACTGCGTATTGAGAGGAAGAAATTTTTGAAGCTGTCTTGGTGGAAGTATCTTTTCCGTAGTCGGAATTTAATTCATTGATATCAAACAGACCCCCGATCGTTTCAGGTTCCTCTTCATATTTTGAGTCTGTCAATTCATTCCCGTTTTGATTTTTATTTTCTYCCTCTTCAGATTCAAGCGGTTCTCTTTCTATCTTATTTTCCCATTCATTTTCTTTCCATTTATCATACTTCAATTCGTTTTCCTTCTCGTTTTCTTCAAGTTCATACTCCCAATGATTTTTCCATTCCCTTTCCCATTCATTCTTAACTTCAGTTTTCTTAGAATCGTTCTTCTCGTTGACTCCTTCCTCGATATTATCAGCTTCTTGATTTTCAGTTTTGTTTGTGTCTACGACACTTGAATTGATTACTTCCATCGTACTCATCTCGTGTCCTGAAGTAGGGTTGGGCTTATGGTTACCCCCATCAATCCCATGGGGTTTCTCACTGCTATCTTGTCCTCTGATCAAATTCACAATACTCAAATACCCTTTCTTGCTGTTTTTCTTCAAAGTGTCGGAAAGCAATTCTTTCGGTTGCTTCACGGCTGACTTTTGTTTTGGTGCAGATATTTCTTTTTTGATTATTTYGCTGTTAATTTCGAGGATTTCTTGATTTTTTTCTCGTTTGTAGGGCTTTTCAATGCGCRGAAGAGTTCCCTTTGAGAATGAATRCGAGGTAGATTTTTTGTTTGTATTTTTCTTGAAGACAATCACAGGTTGAAGTCCCGAAGGAACTCTACTTCCTGGTTGACCACGTGACACCATGTCGCGTAACACAGCACCAGAATGAGGCAGTGCCACGCCTTGAACAAAGAGCCCAGTACCCCACGGTTTAGAATTGGCCGTGTGGGCCATGGAACAAACATTCCCTTCCTTGTCCATTGCARCAATCCCCGACGATCCACGACGATTTTCTCGATGTCGGTCAACATCCGGGACACTGGTCAATAATTCGTGGATCAGTTCACTAATCATGTCAAATCCCTCTTGGTTGCTAAGGCGGTTCCATATCAGCTTTGCCGTTGCATTGGACATTCTTCCTTTACGGCTGGAGTCAATGTGAAAGTATTCGTGCAATGTGCCCCACGCTTCAGGATTGGCATGCGAGTATGCAGATATAAACTGGCTGTATCGGCTTATAGATATTAATGATAATAACTTTGTCGCGTTTGTCAGATAGGTATCGTTGGATAGCGTCAATCCTGCAAGGTTCATTATGTTGAGCATCTCCAGCAGCTCAACTCCTCCCCAGTCTGCCCCGGTTGTAAACACGTGATATGCGTTGTACATAGTCCTCGCGGGCTCAATCCACTGTGCTTCGTAATGCGCCATATCATTAGCGTTCATGTAACCCCCGTGTTTTCGGACCGTCCCTAACARCTTTTTTGTCCATTTGCCTCGGTAGAAGTAGTTTTTGCCGTGTCTTTGGATGTTTCGGATGAACTTGGCGAGTTGTGGCTGACGGAAGAGATCGGCTGGCTCGTACGGCTTGTTGGTTTGTGGATTGGTGAAGATTTTTGAACCTAAGAAAGCAAAACG